AGATTGGATCTTGCTTATTCACTGATCTATCTGCAATGAGAATCGAGATATAAATATCTGTTTTGTTATTTTCTTTTCAAAAGCTTTCATAACTAGGGGTTATGTGATACACATATCATATGAATATTAAACTTGTGGGAGGTGGCAATTAGCAAAAATTTGGATACTTCTGATAACTTAGTCAATGAAGGTTCCAAATGAAGAGACCTTGGATATTTTTTGCCTTTATCTTTTTCAGCAATTTGCAACCAGTAAAAACTGAAAAGAACCCTTGCCTGTATTACATTCAATTTTGTTTAGTCTGTAAAGAGTCCAGGGTATCTTATGTCATAATTTCCAAATTTTGTTGATGATAGAATTGGATATGTTGTGTATTTATGTGTTGTAATTTAAACCAGAACTTCATTTTTATTTAATGAGCTACAGCATTAGGAAGTTCAGTGGCCTATTCCATCACCATCTATTTTGTAATTTCAGATTAATAATTTTGCAATGTCATGCAAGATGCTTTTATTTTTGGAGCTACCCTTTTTCCAAAACAAAACAGATATCCGAACTGTTATATGTCTAATCAAACAAGGCCTGATTATATGAACCTAACCCCTTTCTATCTGTGCAGACTTAATGTGATTTTTAAATTGTTTTAGATTGTACAAAAGCGAAAAACTTTTAGCATTATCGGGTTGTTAGGTCCATGGTTGATGCTTTTCCAATCATATTGACTTATATGTATATATGGTAATGAATTTGAACTTGTAGCAAACTTGTTCGATGTAGTTATTATTTACATTTCAAAGCATTGCCTCTTTTTTTAATATTTTGTTTCTGTGTGCTTTGCTTTCTTTCTTCAGTGCTGCAGGGACTACCACAACTACTCCAACCCCAGTCACCACAAATCCATCCACCACCACACCTTCAACTACAACCCCGTCAAACACCACGCCTTCGACCACTACGCCATACACTACAACACCTTCCAACGGCATCCTAGGAGGCATTGGCTCCGGTCCAACAGGAGCCGGAATAAACACAGACATTACTGATGGTGGGTTCAGATTTCCAGAAACTAGCTTGTTCTCCTTCTTTTTGACTCTTTTGATTTCAGGATTGATGCTTTTGTGGGGTTGAGATGCAAAATCTTGTGGCCAAGATGGTGGTTCTGAGGGTGGGGTAGGGTGGTCACAAGTGGGCTGAATATCAATGTGCATATGTAGGTGTATGCATGTGATTCTGCAGTTGTTTATCTAAGGACATGCTATGCTAGCTAAGTTTTTGTTTGTTTCTTCTCCTCTCTACTTGGGAAAAAAGATGGGCTTCTTATTCCTTTTTGGATGGTTTTGTGGTAGCTGGTGGGACAACTCTCTATCTGTATTTTTATTTTTATTTTTTTCCTTTTCTCTGTTTGTAAACTAGATTTATTTAGATCTAGAAAAGCAGTGATATATTTAGTGTAATGAGAGTTTGGTACCCCAGTTCTAAATAGTACTGCAAAACTTGGTTTCTCACCATTATTATGTAAGGTTGCTTTTGGTTTACTGTTATTGTGCTATTCACCTTAGTTACTATCATTCATTGCTTTAGTGCTCTGTTGGATTTATGGATGTGAAAATCTCTTTACTTGGAAAATAAAATCCAGGGATTTGAAGGATATTCTTACATTATAATCGAGTGGATTAAATTATATTATTAATAGAAGATAATTGAACTTATAAGGAATGATTCAAGTGGCAAAACGCGTTTGAGTCAAGGGGATGATCAGAATTTCATACGTGAAAAAGCACTTATATGGAAGAACAATCATATTTCCCTAAATAAGTAAGTTGAAAAAACACTTGTATGGAAGAACAACCATAAATCTCTAAATAAGATAAATTTTATATTTAAAAAGTCAACACAATAGGTCTGTCTGACGTATAGTTAGAGTCAATATGAATACGATCAATTTATTTAATTTACATGATTATAACTTCTAACTTTCAATTAATCAAGGGTTTAATTTTAATGAACATAAAAATTAAAGGACACTCAATATTGATAAATAAAAGTTTAAGGATTTAACGAATAAAATTCAATGATTTTAAAGGTTTAAATATGATTTTGTCCTAATTATGACATTGAGTGTAATAATTTGTTAAAGAACATATAAATTATAGTCCCTACACTCCAAAATACTAATATTTCACCTTTCCTTTTTTTTTTTTTCAAGAACAATACTCTTTCTTTCCCAAAAAAAAAAAAAAAAAAAAGTGGTAATAATTTTGTTTAAGAACATAATAAATTATAAGTCGCCTACACTCCAAAAATACTAAATTTCACCTTTCTTTTTTTTTTTTTTTCAAAAGAACAATAAGCTCCTTTCTTTCCCAAAAAAAAAAAAAAAAAAAAATCTATTTTTATTCATAGAATTTTTTTTTTTTTTTTTTGGTAATAAACTTATTCAATCAATTTTTTTTTTTTTTTTTTGGTCATAACCTTATTCATCCATATTTATAGTTAATGTTGCTTAAATTTTCCAAACAATTATAAATGTTATATGCATCACTTCTTTAGAATTCTATGTGACAATACCGGAGGAAACCTGCTTTATATATATATCATCACCAAATCATTTATTTGTGACTTAAATTTATTTAATTAAATATATTATTTTATAATTAAATAAATATATAATTTATTAAAGTTATTTTTCTTTTATGTTTTTTATTCTGAAAACTTCTCAACTCAAAAAACCTAATGAGTATTTTCTTTTATAGTATTTTGTGGTAACTGCCAAATAGAGTTTGGCAATAATACATAATGAGGCCATTTATGGCAACAGCCAGAAAATTCATTAGTCACAGTCCAAAAGCTATTACCATTCTTGACCTGGCCTGAGTTGGTAATTTTATGAGAAGAAAAACTAAGAGTGAGCATTCAATTTAATCGAATCGGACCACATCAAATTAGTTTGATTTGGTCTAGCCGAATAGATTTTATAATGATCAAAATCGGACCGGATATTGTAGAATCAATTTGGTTCCGAAACATATATTTTGAACCCAAAAAAAATTAATTCGATTCGCTATGTAAAAGATTGAATCAAAATAAAAAACTAAACGATAATTGATTTTAAAAACTGACCGAATCAAATCAAAATAAATTTGGTTTGAACCAATTCATTTTAGTAATCAAACCAAATTAAATTAGAAATCCACAATTAAATCCCTGTTTTATAAGGAATATTTCAAATTAAACTTCAATAATTTTAAAAATTATTTGCATTTTAATATGGCTGATTGTAAGTTAGCTGGATGATACAGTTCACGTGTTTAGTCATAAATGACATGATAAATATAATTTATCTAAGAATTTCTCGTGCGAAAAGTTTAAGAAAAAAAAAGTCAAGAGATTTATATCTTCGCAGCATAGGAAATGTTGTTGTTATGAGGTTTTTTATATTTTTCAAACAACCAAGACATTACTCACCCTTCCATATATAGTGAAAAGGAAATTTACACAAGAAGAATTAAAATTCCCTTGTTTAGTTGAATTTTTGTTTTCAGAAGTTTGAAGAGCTACCTATTGATAGGAGGACCCTCATGGATAAGGTACAAGATTCTTCTTCTTCTTCTTAATAGAATTTCTTTTAGAATATATAAGCTAAATTATTTATTTATGTGTTTGTGACTTCAAATGTATATGTAGATTTCTGCAACTCACTGAGTGTTTGACAAAATCTCCTTGCCTTTATACTCTGCTGAAATTGTGTTTTTTTTTTTTTTTTTTTTTTTTTTTTTTTTTTTTTTTTTTTTTTTTTTTTTTAACTTCTTTTGCCATCTGATAGAAAAATTAATTCTTGAATATTTAGGATTGATTTGGTATAAATAAAGTTTATTATCTTTTAGGTTTATAAAATAATTTCAATATTTATTTCACTCTTTTGAATTTACTATAATTAAATCGGATTCTTATAAAGATTTAATTTGTATTTTAAAATTACTTATATGGTTCAAATCTTAATTAACCAAAATTTTTTATTATTAGTTCAATAATATAAAATTAAATTTATTTTTAAGATTTCAGGAACATCAACCCTTATATAATATAATATTTGAATGAATTTAATATTTTATGAGATTGATTGTTTGTAGTGATCAAATGTTTGTTTGCATGGAGAGAGAGTTGATAATACAAAAAACTAACCAGGGGCCCAATGCGAGGCCCAAGCTCATGTATTGGACCATAAGGCTGTAATAACTGAGCCCAAATGAGCTTTAAGAATTTCATGATCGGTTCATTTAACGAATTAGGTTGGTTTATTTATTAAACGGGCCTTAATGAGTCGGGCTGAACTTCATATAATAGTAACCGAACCGAGTCGAATTAAATTTTAAAAGATTATTTTAGTTTGTTTATTAAATAAGCCAAATTTTCTTAAACACAAACTCTGACTCATTTATAATATGAGTTATAAAAATTATTCGTTTAGAAATAAACTCGAATAATTATTCAAATAATTTTTTAAAATTCAGGGGTATTTTTGCCCCTTGCTCAAAATATGGCTCCCTCCATTTATTGAGAGAACTTATATAATATTTTTATTTGGATAAAAGAGAGAAATTATTAAAAAAACTACATCAAACAAAATCTTAGGTAAAATACCACTCAAATATCATGAAGTTAAGTACTACAAATACCATGACCGATGGTATTAACTATTATAAAAGTTAATAATTTATATTACATTTTTGTTATTTTAATACATAAATTTTAATTATAATTTCATTTTACTATTATGATATATAATTTACAAATTTTCCACTGTAAAATTGCAACGAAAAATCATATTTTAATTAACTATTAGTTATTAATATAAAATAATTTATATAATAATTGTACTAAGATTAGTATATTTATTATATTATAAAATATATTAATTAATATAAAATAAATTTGATAACGAATTAATTTATGAGTGTACTCACGAGTGTAATGAACGAGCTAATTCGTGAGACTTACCGCGAATGACTTGATTTATTTACCGCCCTAATCTGCCGAGGCGAGCTTAACTACCCCATCAATGACTAAACCGCGCATGGTATTTGCTCCGATTCGAAACGGCGTTCGCGCCAGCCAGCTCTCACGTCGTTCTCCGTCTCACTGTCTATGGGTGTCGTTCTTCAGCTTAATAGAACACACGATCATTGGTACAACCGAATTTACAATTTTTTTTCGAGCTTTCCAATTTCAAATTTTGACAGGGGCTTTTTATCGAACACTTACTATTCACTCTCACTTAAAGCTTTATGTTTACTGGCTAACCCGTCTATTGACATCTGTGGTTTCATAACTCGCGTATGTTATGTTTGGCAGGTTGAACAGTGTTATGTTTGTGGTTATGGCGGTCTTGGAAAATGTTTTGTACTCTGTGATCGTTGCAAAGCTCGTCTACATGTGTATGTATATTTTTCCTGTTCATTTTCTCGATGCTTTAAGTTCTTGTTATCCTTTTTTTTTTTTTTTTTGATCGTTTCAATAGCTCGTTCTACATGTGTTATGTATATTTTTCCTTGTTCATTTTCTCGATGCTTTATAGTTTCTTTGTATCCTTTTTTTTTTTTTTTTCCTTAGTCGGAGTTATACATTTATTCTAAGACGTTTTACATTTATCATTTGTTATATAATTATGTGTTTCTTAATAAAAACCTTGTGCACTGATTCAATTGTAATTATTTTTTTTTTTTTTTTTTCCTAGTCGAGTTATACATTTATTCTAAGACGTTTTACATTTATCATTTGTTATATAATTATGTGTTCTTAATAAACCTTGTGCACTGGATCAATTTAATGAATATTCATCTGGTTGTGGCTTTGTTGGTGATAATTGGGCTTTGTTAGACATTGATGTCGCAATGCAACTGTCAGAAAAACACTCTTGTTGAAGAACAATTAAAAATTAGTTGTCGAAGTATTTTGTTATGCTATGGCTATAAAAAGTGTAAAGCAGCTAAGTGATATATATATATATTTTTTTTCTGGAAAATCAATTCCATGAGCAATGCTGAACTCTTGTAATTGTTATGCTGTTCTAGCTGGCACTTTTTATTTTTTAAATTCATCTTACTTTCATTCCCTTTAGACATTGCACACATAACAATAATAAGGTAATTTCAAAATTTTGGTTTTGTGAAAAATGTTGCTCTAGCAAGCAAGGTTCACTGGAAACTAATCCAAGAGGAACTTCTCTTATTGCATCAAAATCAAGCTCCACTGGGGTAGCTATCCTTGAAAGCAATGAGATTTCTCCAATTGAGGAAGAACCAACTAAAGTTGGAGATGATGCATCCTCAAAAGGAAAAGGATGCAAATCAGTCAATCAAAGTTTTACGGAAAAATTTATCAACCTCGAAAAGGTATCAACTGAGGCGGTAAAGCAAGCAGCTGAAAGAGCATCATGCCCATCATTGGCAATGAAGAAGCCTTCATTTTCCCTGAGGCAATTGGGCGCTTCAGTGTCCCTGAGGCATCTGGGTGATGAGGCTGAACAAGCAGTTCATGGAATACCACCTCCATCTTTTCTAACTGGGAAATCTCCACAGCTGCCTGATTATTCAGGCAAAAAGAAACAAGCAATTAATGAAAAATTATCGGCTCCCATACCAGCAAATCCTCTGTCCTCATCAAGCCATGGTGATAAGAAATCAATCTATGAAGTGGTTACTCTAACTCCTTTAGGTGTGAAATCTCAGCTATCCCCTAGGCTTCCAAGGAATAAGCTTTCAGGCAAGAAATGCTTCAATCTCATGCATGACTTATTTATTTGTGCTGTAATTTTCATGTTTTTTTTTCCCTTTTCTTATCTACCTTAATTAGATGTATGATGGTTATTTATTATATTTCTCCAATTGTTTATTGCCGTATCCATAAGTAGAGAGGTCAAGTATATAAATTAATGAACAGAATTATTACATTCAGACACATATATGTTTGCCTTCTATGGAAGAAATCATAGATCAAAACCAGAAATGGTATTGTAATGTTTTCAGAATTTAACCAGTTACTTTTGTTAGAGTTAGGCTTCTTCTTTTGCAAAACATTTTCTCTGTAATTGGTTGTGCTCAAAATGTTGTTTGGAGAGTTGATGAAAAATAAAATCTAGATTTAGCTTTGAAGATCTCTCTCTGACCCCAACCTATATCATATGTTTTCCACTAGCTTTTTCTCTAAAGCAATCTATTTCTCTTTAGTTTAGGTCACCACGATAAAAATGTTCAAGTCAGTCTAAATGATTTGCCAATCGTGAAACAAGAGTGCAGTAATTTTTATCTTTTGGTGAGAAAAAATTCATACAACTTTCACTTGTTAGAGAAACATATGAAAGAAAAGGATTTTATTAATAAAATAGCTAATGATAAATTCTGACCATCTATAGAGTAAGCTTATTCAGTATCTGCAACTATATGTGGCTTTTGATTTAGGCATCTTCCCTGAGCATTTTATAAATTAAGGCTAAATATTGAGAATTGGTAAATGAATTGACCAGAACCTTCCAAACCAGGGACACCTAAGTGAAAAGAACAAGGAGTGGTTATTGGATTGTTATGGATTCTTGGATTGGGAATTGTTATATTCATCTTTTTGCTCTTGGAATGATAATTGGTAATGACATTTCAAATTTATAATTAATCTATTCCATAAATAGTTCTTACCATAGACCCTTCTTTTATGTTGGCTTCAATTTTGATGCAAAATCTGGCCAGTCAGAAGTGCCAAGGGTTACATTGAATCTATCATTTTTCTTGTTCTTTTGGGACCACTCAGTACATGAATTATGCTTTCTCTTAGTACCAAATTTAATGTTCGAGTTGTTGAAATGGGGTTTCTATTATTTCTAAAAGCATTGGTATGCACTTGACTCTATTAAGATATCATTACCTGTCCATCGACTCATTGGTGTGTTCTGATGGACATTTACATTGATTTTGGGCAAGTTTTGTTAGAAAGCTGTCCTTACTGGTCCATGTGTGAAGAGCTAGGGAATGAGGAGGGCCACAGCCCTTCAACCCTTGTGATCCCAAGGACACCCCTGCCCCTTCCTTCCTTACCCTTACCTCTATAAGCTCTACCCTCCACATCCATGTCTATCCAAGTGTAGCTTTTGGTTCCACCAATTGTCCATGCTTGGGTGACTTATTAATTAAGGTTTTTATCCTTGATAACCTTTAACTCAAATTTTGAATCCTTGTGTTCCTAAGGCATTGTGTTTGCATGGTTGAATGACAGAGCCTAAGTTTACCTTGAGCCTCAAGTTAGTTAAAGTGTAATGAGATGGTTTAGAGAGCTTCGATTTGGGGTTTGAAATGCTGAGTTATCGAGTCCTTTTAGTCCTCGCTTAGACTTGACAAATGAGTGGCTTGAGTAGGTTGATAAAAGAAAATCTTAACCTGTAATTTGAGACTGTTTTTTGTTGGGTTACATTGATGCGCAAGTAATAAAAATAAAATATTAAATACCAATTAACCCAGTTATTAATGTAGTTTGATTTGAGTTGATTAGTTTTTAATGGGTCATAGAAAGTTACTGAAGCCTAGTTCTTCCCATGGACTCATAGGATTGGGTTAGGTTTTTCTCAAGTCTAGTTGGGCTTTCCATAAAGCAAAAATTTTGGGGCCTCAATCTTGTCATAGTTGGCGGTATGGGTATCTGCTGCATGGAATGCTCAAGGGAACCACGATGACTGATTTCTTTGAGTGGCATCACCACACCTTGCCTTGCACCAGCACTAAATGCCATTGAACCTAAAATAAACAAAAAATCTTGGGTTTGTTTTTGTTTGGTGTGAAACATTCCCCTTACCGTTGTTTGCTTCCAAAAAAATCTGGCCAAAAGCATTATGCGTCACTTCTATAGTTCTATTCAAACAAGTGGTTTGCCTTGTATGCTGCCTTCACCATGTAACAACCCTTTTATTTACGTCTAATTGCTCGCAGAATAAACTATCATATTCATCTTTATACCAAAAAATGAGTTTGTTGCTATTCAAGGAGTGATTTTCTGTAGGAGCAAAGTAAAGCACTTCTTACACCAAAAAAAAAAAAAAAAAAAAAATTCGCAGATATAAACTATCATTATTCCATCTTTATACCAAAAATGAGTTTGTGCTATTCAAGGAGTGATTTTCTGTAGGAGCAAAGTAAAAGGCACTTCTTACACCAAAAAAAAAAAAAAAAAAAAAGGACACAAAAAGAGAAAAGAGTTTTGGCGAAACAGGTAGAGCATGCTCTTAAGGTTACGAGATTCTCCGTAAAAAAAAAAAAAAAAAAAAAGACACAAAAAGAGAAAAGAGTTTTGTGGAAACAAGGTAGAGCATGCTCTTAAGTACGAGATTCTCCCGTCCATCCTTATAATTATTATGCCTTAATTAGTCATTATAGCAGGTATCTAGATTAAATTTGTGAAATCCGACTTCTTTTTGACATTGGTATGTATATGTGATTTCATCTTCCATGATATTAAATTATATTATAGGGGCATTATTATATCTAAAAATGCAGTAATTAATAAATTTACCGTTAAAGAGACGTGACACATGCAAAGACATCTTGAAATAACCGTGCAAAATCATTAGAAGATATCGCTTAAAATAATCTGATGACATTGATTTGTTCAATCCTTTTTTTTTTTTTTTTCTGGCTTATTAATTTAGAGTTTTGTAGTTTTATTGTCCCGTGCTTTGAATCTGTGGTTTAATATTGTTAATAGTTGTTGATTCCTTGAGAATTCATGACATTTTTAATAATATCTTGATGTCTTCTGTTCTTGATAATGCTTGTAATCACTAATTATCCTTTATCATTTGGGTTGACCACTGTATTACTAACTTCAAATAAATATTTTCTCAGGTAGAAAACGCTACTATGATGGTAAACCCATAACTTCTGATATCGAAGAAAGTCATGACATGTACTATCTGCTTGATTTTTGGAAATACCCTTCAAACCGTCCTATGCTTGAAGCTGCATGGAAGTGAGTAGTAATATCTCTCTTCGTGGTGTTGCATCACATACTGTATATTACTGAAGGATGAGATGACTTGGTGCAACCTCTGATATATGTGTCTCAATGGGCGTATTAGAGGACTAGTGTCTCTTATCAATTGGATCTAACAATATTAATTTGGTAAATGGAATTGAACTTACCATTCCGAGAACGAAATCAATCCAATTGGTACATTTCTAGACGAATTGTGATGAGATACTTTGTACTGGGTTGTTTGATTGGATAATAATTGAATGAACTAATATTTAGATCATGGTTGAATACATTACTCACTTTAGGTCGCTAAAATTAATGACGGTGGTATCATATGCACTAATAGATTGCCAAAAAGTTAATGTTAGTAATATCGTGAATGTAATAAGAAGTAACAACAAAGGCTAGGGCCTCAAAACCATGATTAGTAAAAGTAGATTTCACACTTTTGAATCTCTTATTCTATCAGCTTCTGGCATTTTCTGATGATGCCAAAGGAAGTTGAGGGAACTATTTGTTTGCCATGCACTTGTGAATTCCATACTTGACTGGGTTATAATTAAATTATCCATTTTGCTTGGAAATTTTATTTATTTTCTTTTGTGTTTTCTTTTGACAGCAGTTATGGTAAAGAATTTGTCATTCTGAGCCATATAGGAACCTTTTTGCTGTTGACCTTTATAGCAAAATATTACAAGTCTTATTTGGATGTAGTATTGAATCCCTGAGCCTTTATTTTTTATTTATTCTTCAATTTTCCTCTTATCGCTATGCAGCGGAAGCTTCGAGATTCTCGATAAGGCGTTTGCTGGTAAATTCTATGGTGATTTTGAAGCTCATCTTCCACAATATCCATGCATTGTTGATAGAAGAGTACATCAGTTTTCCAAGAATATGCCAAGAGTACTGCGCTTTGAGCTGCTGCCCCGTTGCAACATTTGGGCTGAGACCTTTAAGAGTGATTTTGCTCCCGATGATGACATCTCGCTTTATTTCTTCCCTGGAACTTTTGAGAGGTTTGTTTTGGATCTAATATTTATTTTCTGTTGAAGAAGATGGGAATCTTAAAACTTGTACAAACTGTAGCCCCAAGCAGCAATTTGATCACCTGTGGAGGGTCATGGAGAAAGAAGATCTGGTAATGAGGAGTAGCATGAATGGTGTTGAGTTACTAGTATTCACATCCAAGCGATTGCAAAATGCTAAAGGCGAGTTCTTATTTCCTTTTTCCGTGTTCCCCCCCTGCTCTGGGTAAAAATTTTGTTGTTTCTTGTTAGCTGAATTTTGTTTTCTATACAAATATAGTAATATATTAATATAAATGATACTGATTGTAAATGCTGTTAAGTCCCAACCCCATTTGAAGTTTAGTTAGACAATATATGAAAGTTAATTAAGCACCTGTATTAACAACACAACATCAAATTAATATCCTAATCGTCTCGCACAGTTTGCCTCCATTCTAATCTCACTTCCTCCAATAATCAGATTGCAATTATAGTAGTATGACAATTGACTGCATAGAATAGGCGTATTGCAGTCCTCATAATATGTGGTTATCAAAAGAGTTTATGACAGTGATGTGATTTTAACAGCTTGTATTCCGGCATTGGATGTGGATTTGACATGTTTGCACTTTATGAGAAGTTATGGAAAACAGTATTGGCATGGATAATCCTATAATTCGTAAAGGCAATGATTAAATAATTATATCGGGATCGTCTCTGTCTCTTAAATATGATAACTTATTTACAAAATAAAGTATTGCTATTGTTACTTTTGCATTGGCACCTGGAGACTTTGAACTTTAAGTCCATCTTGGCCTTAGCTATCAATTTTTTTCCGTTTAATGTAACATTCAAGTGTGCTGCCTGTGATACATGTGTTAACTATAATAGTATAAGATGAATTATTTCCTTTTAAACAGCACTAGATGCATTCCATCTATATCAACATATTAATAGACTTGCAAGCCAAACATGTCAAGCTTCCTGTTTAGACCTTTCTTTTTTATGCTAGTATCACTTGAAAGCTCAGTACATATGACTGTTGTTGCAGAATTCAACTGGGAACCCTTCTTATGGGGAGTATTCCGCATTATGAAAAATAAGAATGTCTCTACTAGCATATCCACCAATAAACCATCTCAGATTCATGCCTTTGGAGTTGGGACTACAATCAAACCGCAGTCCTCAATGCAGGAAATTAAAAGGCTCAACGACCATGAAGTTCCTCCTGGGTTTTCTGGAAAAGGTGCTACCAAGGCTGCTAATGAGGCAACCTTTGATGACCCTGAAGTTCCTCCTGGGTTTTCTGGAAAAGGTACTAGCAAGGCTGCTAATGAGGCAACCTTTGATGACCCTGAAGTTCCTCCTGGGTTTTCTGGAAAAGGTGCAAGCAAGGCTGCTAATGAGGCAACCTTTGATGACCCTGAAGTTCCTCCTGGGTTTTGTGGAAAAGGTGCTAGCAAGGCTGCTAATGAGGCAACCTTTGCTGAAGTTCCTCCTGTGGTTTTGTGGAAAAGTTGCTGCAGGTCTGCTTAATGAGGCAACCTTGATGACCCTGAAGTCCTCCTGGGGTTTGTGGAAAAAGTTGCTAGCAAGGCTGCTAATGTAGGGCAAACCTTTTTGATGACCCTGAAGTTAAAACTCCTGGTTTCTGCGAAAAGGTGCTAGCAAGGCTCGCCAAGGCTGCTAATGAGGCAACCTTTGATGACCCTGAAGTTCCTCCTGGGTTTTCTGGAAAAGGTGCTAGCAAGGCTGCTAATGAGGCAACCTTTGATGATCATGAAGTTCCTCCTGGGTTTTCTGGAAAAGGTGCTAGCGGGGCTGCTAATGAGGCAACCTTTGATGAGTCTGGTTTGGTGGAAGTTCCTGTTAAACTTCATCCGGTAAATTTTTCCCCCTTTCTATATTCTAAGTTATTATGGCAGCAGTGGGGCTAACCTATTCAGATAGAATTAGCTGGATGGGCATGATAAACCATAATTTCTTGTTTCTGTTGCTGGCTTGTAACTTGTTGATGCAAATTAAAAGGCGATATGCTCTGCAAAATTTGAAAATGACATGGGAAACTTTCAAGCAGTTAGCAGTTAGTTTATGTCATATCTAGTTTGCAGTTAGAATTCATTTGTAAATGAATGATTCATGTTTGAAATAAATTTAAAATTGAAAATTCATTTGTTATTATTTCCAAAAAATACTCGTGGCATAATAATTTTAGAAAATTAGGAGGATGGATAAATTTGTCATAAAGTTTGGATTGTTTAAGTTTGTGAAATTCATTTGGAAATTCCAATTTTTTTTTGTTAACATTTGGTTTAGTTATATTGAAATCCATAGAATTAAATTCGTAGAATTTAAATCTTCTTCTTCTTCTTCTTCTTCTTTTCCCATACCACAAAATTTGGATTTTAATTCCACAAAATTTGTTAAAGATTCCCAAAACTTTTAACTTGAATCAAAATGGTCAATGTTGTGGGACCTTATGTTAAAGATTTAGGTCTACATATTTTAGAAAGAAATTTAGAAAATAGTTTATTTGGGATTATTTTGCTATTTAATTATTTAGATTATTTTTGGCATTTGACTTCATTAATTAGCACTAAACTATACTGTTACCCTATATAAGTATTATCAGGACTTCTTTTAACATTAGTTTGTATTTTCAAATGATTGAAGTTTAATCAGAGTTTAGAATGTTCCATTTTTTCATGTATTCTCAAATGTTTTGGTTGGACTTGATCGCGCCAATATGTGATTTAGCCATGGGAGAAAGAAGGGGCGAGGACCACAAGGTTGTGAATGTTCTGTTAGGCAATGTGTACAAGTCCTGCTACATTGATATACTAATTTACTAAATCTGCAATGCAAGTTTTTAATTCTACTTAATTATGTCTTCAAAATTTACAGGCTCTTGTTCCGCCCCCACATCTTTGGTCAAAGATTGCTCGTCCTGCCAAAATTGCCCGAAAGGAGATCCGGCGGGACTGAGAAACAATGAGTGTTTGCATCTGCATACCTTTGTGTTACTCCTGCTCTATTTGGTCATCTATCTTTGTTTGAAGACTTAAAGTTGGAGTTTATTTTCTCTGTTGAACAATGACTTTTCAGATTCTTGGTTCCTAAGCTAATGATCTTTTGATGTTGGACCAACGACCGTCTATGTTGGATTTCTTAGTTACCGAAATAATTACCAGAATGCGACTGGAAATAGTATATGGTCTTACTTTTATTTAATGTTTTTCAGATTGATAATATTCTTCTTTTGTTGGAAGGAAAGTGGTGAATGATAATTAATTATCCTAATGGTCATGCATCACAGGAGTCATTATTTGCTTAAATAATTATTTAGTCGATCGAGTTTTGGGTCATAAATTCAAAATTATAGGATCTCTTATTTATTAAAGACAATGATTAGTTCCTAATATCACATAATGGTCAAATTTTCACATTTTGTTTTGTTAAATTATTTAGTTTTTTCATCGACAAGTGTCATTTTAGATATTAAATACATGTAACATTTAATTTTTCACATTTAATTTATCAAATTTACTATTGAATTATTATTTAGTCTCTTGATTAACGGTGTTAAATAAAAAATTAAAATAGTTTAATTGAAATCTTAGGGTATTTAAAACGAAGTTATAATTATGATTGAATCCATGAAACTAAATAGTCATTTACCCATTTTGTTTCAGAAAACTGTCTGGATTGAACTGCATGTGCTACTCTCTTTTTTCTCATATTTCAATTATAACTTGCAAAAAAAAAAAAAAAATGAAATAGAGGGGAAGGCTTAAGTTAATGTAAATGAGAGTAGCAAAGAGAAAATTTAATTATAATTTTTGTCATAAGATGTAGTCTTAGTTTAAATAAAATGAAACTTACAAATCTTTATAGCCAATTCTAACTAATTTGGATTTGCCTGTAACTTGGTAAGGTAAGGGATAGAAATTTTGCCTCCTCCATTCTAAAAAATTCTGAAATATGGAAAAGTAATTACAATTAAGATAAGAGGTTGAAATATGAAATTAGAAGACAAATGAAGTAACCGAATTACCCGAAATTGGATTTTTACCCGAAATTGGATTTTTACGTAAATTGGATTTTTACCCGAAATTGGATTTTTACGTAAATTGGATTTTTACGTCGAGTCGACTTTTTTTTTTTAAGTTTTTTTTTTAAATGTTATAATTGAATGTTAAAAGTCACAAAATTGAAGAGCAAATCATCATTGAATAATAAAAAAGATAATAAATGATTAAGAAAAGTGAAATATTAAAAAAATTAATAAAAATATTATTAAGAATTTCAAAATTCTATATTTTATTTTTTTTAATAAATATATATGAATGATAATGAGACATGATATTTTTATATTTTATCTTTTAAATATTCAAATTTATTTTAATTATAATTTAAAATAGCTGTAGGAAAGAGATGAAAATATTTATTTTTTAATGTTCTTTTTTCTCTATTTTTGTATGATTTCATAGATATATTTTTAAAAAATAAATTTTAAATAGAATAGATTATTTTTTTGTATGGTTATAGAGAAAATTCAGAGTTTTTTTTTTAATCTTTTTTACTGAAGTTAATTAACTTATTTATTTTAAATTGTAAATTATAATAATGGATAAATTGTTTAACTGATCAATATTGGGATCCTAACACGATTGTTTTGTAATTTTCATTTATTGATTTGTTTTTTTTTTTTGTTTTTTTTTTTTTTTTTGATCAATATGGGATCCTAACACGATTGTTTTGTAATTTTCCATTTTATTTGATTTGTTTTTTTTTTGTTTTTTTTTTTTTTTTTTTTTTTTTTTTTTTTTTTTTTTTGTTCATCGACGTCAAATTTCATTAAATTATAGGATTTTAAATTGAAAAAGGGGTTGTTTTTTAAATCAAAATTGATAATTTTTGTTTTCATGTTATATGTTGTGTTCTGAGAAGAGTTTCATTCTAAATAATAATTTTTTATTTTTTTGTTATTGAATTAATTTATAACTAGTATCACTTTAACAGGAAATAGATGACAATTTGATGATTAAGTAATTTTAATTTTTTTAATATTTTTTCTCCTATATTTTTTAATGCATTGGATAAGCAATATTGTCACTAGCCAAAGTGAATATCATTATTGATTCAGATTATTTTTTTTATTTTATTTCTTTTACCTAGCAGTAAAAAATAATTTATCATTTTTTATTGGTGGTTAATAAATATTGATTTGCAATAGAGTGAAGTGAGACTTTTTTTTCTTAAAATGTTATAATTGAATGTTAAAATTCATAAAATTGAAGAGCAAATCATCATTGAATAATAAAAAAGAGAAAAAAATGATTAAGAAAAGTGAAATATTAGAAAAATTAATAAAAACATTATTAGAATTTCAAAATTTTATGTTTTATTTTATATATTTTTATGTTTTATTTTATATATATTAATTAATATATAATATATTATTATAGAGAAGAGGAGAGAGAGAGGAGAGAGGAGAGAGATGAGAGAAGAAGAGAGAGAGAGAGAGAGAGTGAGATGAGAGAGGAGAAGAGAGACGAGAGGAACTATTATGAACTAATGAGACATGATAATATTTCTATAGTTTTTCTATTTCCTCAATTAAATATCCCTCTACCGAAAGGTTTATTTTTATTATAATTTTAAAATATTTTTAGGAGAGATTAAAAATATATATTTTTTATTAATTCTTTTTTTCTTTATGTTTGTATGATTTGCATTACATATTTATCGTGGTCGAAAAATCAATTTCTCAATTGTGTTTGTATGATTTGATACATATATGTTTAGAAATAAATTTTCAAATAGAATATATATATTTTTTGTATGGTTATAGAAAAAATTCAGAGTTTATTTGAAGATGATGTAATGTTTTTTTCTTTTTTATTGAATTTAATTAACTTATTTATTTTAAATTGTAATTTATAATAATAGAGAAATAAATATATAAATAAACTGACTAGCTGATCAATATTGGAATTCTAAAATGATTTATTTTGTAATTTTCATTTATTAACTTGGTTTTAAACACTATATTCTATATTCTATATTCTATATTCTATTCTAAATATGATATTTTTTTCTCCTATATTCTAAATCTGTTTCACTAGAAAGAAAATAGTGTTTATCATATTGAAGAAAAAGAACTATATTTTTGTTTTAGGTCACTTTCTAGGATTTCAGAATTTGTGTGTACTTTTTCTTTAATACACTTGGTAAGTAATATTGTCACTAATCAAAGTAAATATCATTAGTGATTTAGATTATTTTTTCATTTCATTTCATTTCATTTTTTTTTTTACTTAGCTGTAAAAAATAATTGATCACTTTTTATTAGTGGTTATATAAATATTGATTGTAGTTGAGTGAAGTGGTTGAAGATCGAGCGATGACTTGTTTTTTTTTTTTTAAATGTTACAATTGAATGGTAAAATTCATAAAATTGAAGAGCAAATCATCATTGAATAATAAAAAAGAGAAAAAAAAAATTATTAAGAAAAGTGAAATCTTAGAAAAATTAATAAAAACATTATTAAGAATTTCAAAATTCTATGTTTTATTTTTTTAATAAATTTAATAAATTAACATATTATGGAATGATAATGAGGACATGATAATTTTTATATTTTTATTTTTAAAAATATTGGAATTTATTTTATTGATTAAGTTCATAATATTTTTAGGAGAGAGATAAAAAATATGTATTTTTTAGTCCAGATATATGTTTTAAAAAATGAGTATTTCAATAGAATATATATTATATATAATATATATATATTTGGTTTATGGTTATAGAGAAAATTGAAATGTTTATTTTGGAAGATGATGTAATGTTTTTTTTTGTTTTTATGTAATGTTTTTTTTTTTTTTATCTTTTTTGCCGAAATTAATTAACTTATTTATTTAAAATTGTAATTTATAATAATAGAAAAATAAAATACTTAGATAAACTGATTAATTGATTAATATTGGGATTCTAACATGATTTCTTTTGTAATTTTCATTTATTGACTCGGCTTTAATCTTTTTGTGGTCCGTCAATACCAAATTTCATTAAATTATGGGATTTTCAGTGAAAAAAGGGTGGTTTTTGGAATTAAAATCGATAATTTTTGTTTTCTTAGTATGCGATAAGAGTTTTACTTTAAATAATAATTTTTCATTTTTTTAATTGAATTAATTTATAACTATTATCACTTTAACGAGGAATATGTGACATTTTGATGATCAAGTATTTTTAATTTTTTTTATATTGTTTTTTCTTATATTCTAAATCTGTTTGACTTGAAAGAAAATAGTATTTATGATATTAAAAAAAAAAAGAACTATATTTTTGTTTTAGATCACTTTTAGGGTTTCAAGAATTTGTATGCATATATTTTTTTCTTTAATGTACTGGGTAAGTATTATTGTCATCAGTCAAAACGAATATCATTATTGATTCATATTATTTTTTCATTTTATTTCTTTTACTTAGCAGTAAAAAATAATTTATTATTATTATGTTTATTAGTAATTATATAAATATTGATTTGCAGTTGAGTGAAGGGGTTGAAGATTGAGTCATGGCTTTTTTTTTTTAATGCTATAATTGAATGTTAAAATTCATAAATTGAAGAGCAAATCATCATTGAATAATAAAAAAAGAGAACAATAAAAAATTTTAAGAAAAGTGAAATATTAGAAAAATTAATAAAAACATTATTAGAAAAATTAATAAAAACATTATTAAGAATTTCAAAATTCTATGTTTTATTTTTTTAATAAATATATATATGATTGATAATGAGACATGATAATTTTTATATTTTATATTGTAAATATTCGAATTTATTTTAATTATAATTTAAAATATTTTTAGGAGAGAGATAAAAATATGTTTTTTTTTATGTTTGTATGATTTGATAGATATGTTTTTTAAAAAATAAAATTTTAAATAGAATATATATATTTTATGGGTATAGAGAATATTCGAGTTTATATAATGTTTTTTTTTTAATCTTTTTTACTGAAATTATATATGTATATAAAATGATTTCAAGGTTTTTAATTAGCAAGGTTGAAACGACCCGAAAATTTAATTTCGTAGAATTTTCATTTAAAAACTAAATTTTTTATTTCAACCAATGAGATTATACCAGCTAGTATTATTTTGCTAAACGGATCCGTAAATACCATATTCGAATTTTTTCAAAAATAACCATATGTGCGAAAAAAAACGTCAATAACCAAACAATAATTTGAATGTCCACTATTCCATTAGAAATTGATCGCTAAATTCTATGGTTCCCG